CGGGTGGATCACGAGGTCAGGAGATCGAGACCATCCTGGCTAACATGGTGAAACCTCGTCTCTACTAAAAATACAAAAAAATTAGCCGGGTGTGATGGCAGGCACCTGTAGTCCCAGCTACTTGGGAGGCAGAGGCAGGAGAATGGCGCCACTGCTCTCCAGCCTGGGCGACAGAGCGAGACTCCGTCTCAAAAAAAAAAAGAAAGAAAAGAAAACCCATATTCAATCCTGAGCTCTTTCATTAAACCCAGAGAATAAAATTAGATTAAAATATTACCTAGTTGATTCTGACTCTCTCTGGTTTTAAGAATAATTTCTGATGTCTTAAGAAGCTTTAGAGACGCTGTCATTTTCTTCAACTTCATTAGGAATATGAGATGGAAAGTGGTTGCTTCCTGGTTTCTGAAAATTGACAAAATTTTAAAGAATATGGCAAATAGTAAAGGAAAAATGAAAACTTAAACCCAGGAATAATAATCCTGAGAGGAAAACTGATGTGTTCCTTAAAAATTATACTAGGATTGATGCTGTAGTGAAATAAAGTATCTTCAGCAATAGTGGCTTCCAAAACAAACAATTCATATCAACAAATAGAATTATTTTCACCTATTAAGTTTTCATTTGAAGAATTCAAAATGTGCGATTTCTGGCCAGGCAAGGTGGCTTACGCTGGAATCGCAGCATTTAGGAGGTCAAGGCAGGAGGATCACTTGAAACCAGGAGTTCAAGACCAGCCTGGGCAACAAAGCAAGACCCCCTATCTCCACACACACAAAAAACTAGTTAGGTGAGGAGATGCGCACCTGTAGTCCCAGCTACTTAGGAGGCTAAGGTGGAAGAATAACTTGAGCCCAGGAGGTTGAGGCTATAGTGAGCTCTGATAGTGCCACTGCACTCTAGCCTGGGTGACAGAGCGAGACTCCGTCTCAAAAAAAAAAAAAAAAAGAGAGAAAAGAAAACCCAGATTCAATCCTGAGCTCTTTCATTAAACCCAGAGAATAAAATTAGATTAAAATATTACCTAGTTGATCCCCATCTCTAAAAAAATAAATTCAAACAAACAAGTGCCTAACAAGAATAACCCATGGAAATGTTTTCCATCCAAATTCTAAACTAGCCAGTGTCTCTCAAGCTGTTGCCTGCAAATCACTGTACTAGAATCACTGGGAAGATGCATATTCCTGGCCGGGCGTGGTGGCTCACACCTGTAATCCCAGCAGTTTGGGAGGCTGAGACAGGCAGCTCACCTGAGGTCAGGAGTTCAAGACCAGCCTGGTGAAACCCAGTCTCTACTAAAATGACAAAATTAGCTAGGTGTGGTGGCGCGTGCCAGTAGTCCCAGCTACTCAGGAGGCTGAGGCAAGAGAATCACTTGAACTGGGAGGCAGATGTTGCAGTGAGCTGAGATTGTGCCACTGCTGTGTTGTCCAAGCTGAAGTGTAGTGGCGTGATCTCAGCTCACTGTAACATCCACCTCCTGGGTTCCAGCGATTCTCCTGCTTCAGCCTCCTGAGTAGTTGGGATTACAGGTGCATGACACCACGCCCAGATAATTTTTGTATTTTTAGTAGAGATGGGGTTTCGCTATGTTGGCCAGGCTGGTCTCGAACTCCTGACCTCAGGTGATCTGCCTGCCTTGGCCTCCCAAAGTGCTGGGATTACAGGCGCGAGCCACCGTGCCTGGCCCACAATTTCCTTTTCTAAATCAAGTTTATTCCTAACATGGTTTTGGACTTGCAATTTTTATCATTATAATTGCTGTTCATCAAGCATTTTCATCTATTTCAGTGGAACTGACCAAGAAGCACACTTAAATTCCAATAACCTAATAAGAAATAACTCTTCAATCCATAAATTAGTAGAAGCTAAGCTATGAGGATGCAAAGGCATTAAGAATGACATAATGGGCCGGGCGTGGTGGCTCAAGCCTGTAATCCCAGCACTTTGGGAGGCCGAGACAGGCGGATCATGAGGTCAGGAGATCGAGACCATCCTGGTTAACACGGTGAAACCCCGTCTCTACTAAAAAATACAAAACTAGCCAGGCGAGGTGGCGGGCACCCGTAGTCCCAGCTACTCAGGAGGCTGAGGCAGGAGAATGGCGTCAACCCAGGAGGCGGAGCTTGCAGTGAGCTGGGATCTGGCCACTGCACCCCAGCCTGGGCGACAGAGGAGACTCCGTCTCAA